AAGTGAACAAGGAAAGATGGGTATGAATCTGATTGAAAACATTACAAAGCAACTAAATTCGGGTGCGATTCAGAACAAATCTATCGAAGGCAGCGGACTTCCAATTGAAAGAGTGCTCGAGGCCATTTTGCTTTCTTTTTTGGCACTCTTCGCCGTCGTGGGAAATGGTCTTCTTATTTAGGTCATCTACTCAAATCAAAATCTTCGAACTCTCCGGAATGCCTTTGTAGCAAGTCTTGCGGCTGCCGATCTAATGTTAGCCTGTACAGACATTGTTTACCAGGCAGTGGAAAAGGTCATAATCGATTTCAAGCCTCCCCATCCATCGATTTGTTACATTATCTTACTTAGCGGAGTACTGTTCGGTTCTGCTTCTGTGTTTAATCTCACTGCCATGACTTTGGTTCGTTACGTAAACATTCGCTACCCACTTCATTTCAACCGTTACCTAACTGTCCATCGCTCTACCATTATTGTGCTAGTGACTTGGTTAGCTGCACTTTGTCTCGCATTCCCACCGCTCATTTGGCGCCCGGAAGGCGTCGTGTGCTCGACGACGACGCCTTCCGACGAGCACTTCTTAAACGAAGCCTTATACATGAGTGCCGAGTGGTTAATTTGGTTTTTTATCCCAGCGATACTCATAACGTTTTCGTATAATCGCATCTACATGATCGCAAGAACTCAAGCTAGGCAGATAGCCGCTTTAGAAGTGACTGCAGTCAACGAAACAAATTCTAAAAATTGTTTCACTGTCAGAGGACGAGCCTCGTCTTTGAAAGAGAAGAAAGCGGGGCGAATGGTGGCCATTTTGGTTGGATTTTGGGTTCTTTGCTGGCTTCCGTTCTTCACAGTGCTGACTATAAGTAAATTCAAATCTCAAGTGCCAGGCCTTCTCATGCGTTTGTTTATGTGTCTGATGTTTGCAAACTCGGCTATAAACCCTATTGTATTAACGTGGTATAACCGTGAACTAAAAGAAGCGATTAAGAAGATGTTCTGGCGAGGAAAACGGCATAACCAGTTGTTATCTGTGTCAGAAACACGGTCAAACTTGAGACGATCAACTTCTGGAACAGCATTTTGAACATGGCATACAAACCCACAAACAAGAGAGATCAAGGGCGCTGGCTGGTGTTTCTCATACTATATTTTAAAACGCCTATTAAGAAATGAGAACACAATCCAAGAGGTATTTCGTGTCAAAAAGTTATCAATACTTGCAGGAAATAGCTCAAGATTGTACTCTAAACCCACCGAGTGAGAATTAACCCATTAAAATCCATTTAGAGTAGGCGCAATCTTTGATTCTTTATTACGTTCAGAAAAATTAATTACAATCGTTATTAACTCATGGTTTAGATCCGATGGGATCTCAAATTCACAGCAGAAGAAATCACCATGTGGCAAGAACAACAACTCTTTGCATGACATCAAATACAAATAAAGAAAAACCTTCCCGGTACAAGACAGACACGGACTTACTACCACTCCTCCAGCGTAGACCATTTCTACTCAATTGACTGTTTCACTCCTAAGATCTCATTAGAAATTCTCCATACAATTCTTCAAGTTAGTTTGGACAATTAGGTGTTGAATCCCGTTGATATCTTTCTTTATTCTCAGCTCTTGTCTGCTTGATATTGTATTGATATTGTAAGAAGAAATTCTATCTTGGTCACGCATGGAAGTTAAAGGGTTAATAATAATATAATATAGTAATAACTTACCATTTACAAGGCGCAAAAATAACATTCAGATATGATGTAATAGTTAAGACGGTAAAAAGGTAAGGATTTCATTTGCCGATCTTGATTTTCGTTAATAAACAAAAAGATCGTTTTATAGTGAAAGAGAGAAACGTTGTTTTCCTTTCAATTGCTGTTTTTTCTGTCAATACCATCAATATTTCAAAGCAATTATATTAGGCTTGTTCGAAGAATTATTAATAAAAAGTTATCTTTAATTTGCCATCCTCAATCATTTATCACACGAATAACACCAGTTTTGATTAACAAAATATTTCAAGCGCCCGATATGAACCCGTGACCCTCAGATTAAAAGTCTGATGCTCTACCTACGGTGCTAACTGCGGCAACAAAAAATTATAATAACCGAACAAGTTCTTCATCGCAATCACAAACTAGTATCAAATGAATCGGTATTTGCTGACGACTTCAAAGTTCGACTCTGCTGAATTTGGGGTAAAACGTAGACTCTCCTTCTGCCTTTTAGCACGTTTTTGTCAAGTAAACGTGTACACATTTCTTTCAAAGCCTTGTGAAATTCTGAGCCCAGTGAACAGAGGATCATGGGATTGAAGCAGCTGTGAGATACTTGAAACATCCGGGACATATTCTCAATCGTTTCATTGTAATGCCATTCGGCATAGACAGGGAGACTGTCAAATAACGTGGCCACGTTGAAAGGCAAGAAACAAACGGTAAAG